CAAAATGATCTCTGTCAAGGCCCCAGTGATCTCTTCCCTTGCCTCTCTCAGTATCCTGGGATAGATCCCAACAAGCCTTATCAACCTTAGTGTTTTTCATAACACCAAACACCTTCTCCTTGTTAATATTGACATGCCCTAGAACATCAACATATCCCTCCCTAATCTTACCATCATCCATGTCTTTCTCCTTGGCGAATGCTGATGAGAAGTACTCATTAAGTATCTCACCCACTTTCTTTGGCTCCACGCACAAATTCCCTCCCATGTCTAGAGTAGACCTAGCCTTTCCCTGGTGTTACCCTCTTGCTCCTAATATACCTGTAAAAGGCCCTGGGTTTCTCCTTAATCCTGCTTGCCAAAGATATCAAACCAGAACAGTACTATTCAAATGGAGAAAATCTGCAGAAAGCTGCAACACAAAAGGGACTTTGGGGAACTTGTGCATGAAACACAGAAAGCTAGCACACAGGGGCAGCTGGTAGTCAGAAAGGCTAACGGAATGTCAGCCTATATTCATGTTGGGTTTAGAGTATAACAGAAAGGAAGCCTTACTGCAACTGTGCAAGGTACAAGTGAGACCACATTTTATGTACCATAGTATTTTTGGGCCGTGTATTTAAGGAAATATATCATTTAATTGGAAGCAGCTCAGAGAAAGTTGGCTAGGATGATTCCTGGTAGAGGTGGATTGTCTTCTGAGCAAAAGCTAAACAGGTTGGGATTCTACTCATTAGAGCTTAGAAGAATGAGAGGTGATCTCATTGAACATATAGGATTCTTAAGGGAAGAAACAAACAGAGTTAACGTTCCTGAGGAAGGGTCACCGGACCCGAAACGTTAACACTGTTTTTTTATTTCACAGATGCTGCCAGACCTGCTGAGCTTTTCCAGCAACTTTGTTTTTGTTCCTGATTTACAGCATCCGCACTTCTTTTGGTTGTTATTTAGGATTCTTAAGGGGTTGGACAGGGTAAATGCTGAGACAATGTTTCCCATCATAGGAGAATCTAGGACCAGAGGACATAGTCTCGGAATAAAGGGGTGCCAACTTAAGACTGAGATGAGGAGGAATTTCTTCTCTCAGAAGGCTGTGAATTTTTAGAACTTCTTGCCAAAGAGAGCTGTGGAGGCAGAGTCCTTTGTGTATATTTAAGGCTGAAATATTTAGATTTTTGATCAGTTGGGGAATCGAGGGTTATGGGGAAAGGTCAGGAAATTGGAGATGAGGAATGTCAGATCATCCTAATGAATGGTGGAGCAGGCTTGAGGGCCTGAATGGCTTACTCCTGTTCCTATTTCTTAAATCATCTTATAGTCAACTCCCTTTGCTTTGCCACCAGCGCCTTCTCTTGGTCAGACTGTTAAACTCTGGAATTCTGCCCCAATGCCTTTCCTCCATTCAGACGCTTCTCAAAAGTTGCCCTTTGACTAGGTGCATGGTCATAGCTCAGTCTTTGGCTTTTGGTGTCAGGTTTTAACCTTATTCCTGTACGTGTGCCCATTTGAATCCTTCAATGTCTTAAAGATGCTAAATTAAAACAGTTTTTCTTACCTGTATTTTAATAATGGCAGCTTTTAACCTTTGATTGTTAAGGAAGAAAGTATGATTTTATTTCAAAGAAATGACTCCTGAACGTTTGAACTGAGGATGACCTCGCATTCCAACAGCACTAACAATCATTTCCTTAATGAGGTAACATTATTAAACTCTTGGCAATGCTTTCTGAATCCTGAGTTCCAAGGCGCTGTAAACACTGATAAATTGTGGAAGAACAAAAGTTTGTTTTACAAAACAAAAACATCTTTTTACTTGGTGATTCTGTAGACAGAGGTAATTAGCTGCTGCTGGATGGTACAGAATCAAAGGCATACTGGTAATTAAGTGTTTCACTTAATGTAGCAATTATATCTGCTGATGGCATGTTACCGTTCACTCAGGGGATCCTGGTTGCTGTGGCAATGTGCACTTTTTCATGGTGGTTGTACAGATAACATGGTTAATAATGATAGAGGCTCCAATTTCCATTCCATCACCTATCTGACCAGGAATCTCTCTCAGACTTACACCTGCCACTGATGTGTGTTGAGAGTCAAAATCTGTTTGGCTGCATTATGAATCCAACTTCCTTGGTCATCAGGTGCTGGAGTGAGACTTGAACCTGGAGTGTCTAAGCTCAGAGGCAGGGACACTGGCTGCCGTGACACAAGGCATTGCAATTATATAATGCAAGACAAATTATTGATAGCAAAGAAATTACTTACAAACCCAGTTTATGAGCTGAAGTTATTGTAAATGTCTAAATTCAGTTACATTGTCATAGAATCTAACTGGATTCAGACTTTTACAATAACTTCGGTTATTCTCCTCATGTGAAGATGTTAGATGGCATTTACCTCCTCCCACCTTACCACATCTCACTTGACCAGCATTGCCTTCTGAGGAATTTTGCACGCTTGCCTTCATTGCTCTGACTTTGAGTATAGGAGTTGGGATGCTGTGTTGAGGTTATACAGGATGTTGGTGAGGCTTCTTCTGGAGTCCTGTGTGCAGTTCTGGTCACTCAGTTAAAGGAAGGAAAGTATTAAGCTGGAGAGGGTTCAGAAGAGATTTACCAGGATGTTGCCAGGAATGGAGGGGTTGAGTTATAAGGTGAGGCTGGAAAGGTTGAGCTTTTTTCACTGGAGAGTACAAGGTTGAGGGCTGACCTTATAGAGGTTTATAAAATAATGAGGGGTAGAGATAAGGTGAATGGCAATTGTCTTTTCCCTAGGGTGAGGGATTTCAAGACTAGGGGGCATATTTTTAAGGTGAGAGGAGAAAGATTTAAAAAAGACATGACAGACAATTTTTTTACATAGAGAGTGGTTTATGTATGGAATGAACTTCCAGAGGAAGAGGTGGATGTGGGTACAGTTTCAACGTTTAAGGGACATTTAGATAAATATATGAATAAGAAATGTTTGGAGGGATATGGCCAAGCATAGGCAGGTAGGACTAGGTTAGTTTGGGAATATGGTTGGCATGGACTGGTTGGACTGAGGGGTCTGTTTCTGTGTTGTATGACTCTATGACTCCATATATTGGCTCAGGATTTCAGATTCCTGAAATTGATGGTAGCTACTTCAACTTTTGATACAGTCATACTTTCCTGAATTGTTTGGATTTTCACATATTAGAGCTGAGAGAAATGTTTAAATGCAAAGACTCAGTAACTAACATGTATAAACATACGAAATAGGAGCAGTAGCAAACCATTTGGCCCCTAGAGACTGCTTAGCCATTCAATAGGAACATGGCTGAAGTTTTTGTGCTTCAAATTCCACACTCACCTCTCCCATGCCGATAACCCCTGATTTCCGGCAGAGAAAGGATCCATCCACCTCTGTCTCAAACATAATGAATGACCTGTCTCCACCACCTTCTGAGGCAGAGAGTTCCAAAGTCATCTTCTACCCTAAAGCCCTTAATTTTAAAATGGAGTGACCCACAAGAGGAACTATCTTTTCCATGTCCACCTTGTCAAGGCCAAGCAGAATCTTATGAACTTCAATCAAGTTCAAGATGGATTTATAAACGTTTCATTAGAATGTTCAGAAATAACTCTGTTTAGTCTTTGGCCAACAGGCCAAAGGGCAGCACGGTGGCTCAGTGGTTAGCACTGCTGCCTCACAGCACCAGGGAACTGGGTTCGATTCCACCCTTGGGCAACTATCAGTGTGGAGTTTGCACATTCTCCCCGTGTCTGTGTGGGTTTCCTCTGGGTGCTCCGGTTTCCTCCCACAGTCCAAAGATGTGCAGGTTAGATGAATTGGCCATGCTAAATTGCCCATAGTGTTCAGGGATGTGTAGATTAGGTGGGTTATCAGTTTGGGTGGATGGTCTGAGGGTCAGTGTGGGCTTGTTGGGCCTGTTTCCACACTGTAGGGATTCTATGATCAGGTGTGATTGCAAATGTTACCTTTTATCTCCTATGTTGACGTAATTATATCACATGCATACTGTGTTTGAGGAATGGACCGAACATCTAGTCATAAGTAAAAATGTTCTCCAGAACATTAAAATTCTTGTCCTCCTGGTGAAATCTTTCCTTGTCATGTTCCCTCTCTTTTTCCTCTGGCTTTCCAAACTCTACACTTCTCTAACTCTTTGTGGTTGGGATATATAAGAATAGGAAATGACCTTATTCATGCAAACAGGATTCTTAGGGGCAAAAACAGAAGTTGCTGGAAAAGCTCAGCAGGTCTGGCAGCGTCTGTGGAGAGAAATCAGAGTTAATGTTTCGGATCCAGTGACCCTTTGTCAGTATCCACAGCTCTTTCGGTTTTTATTTCAAATTCGTGGGGATTTGACACGGTAGTTGGGGAAAGCCTGTTTCCCCTTGTGAGAGACTCTAGGACCAGAGGACATACTCTCAGAATAAGGAGTCACACACTTAAGACAGAAATTAGGAGAAATTTCTCTCGGAGGGTAAGGAATCTGTGGAATTTGTTTTAAACCACAGAGGGCTGTTGAAGCTCGGTCTTTCAAGGCTGAAATAGACAGATTTTCAATCAGTAAGGGAATCAAGGGTTATGGGAAAAAAGCAGGAAAGTGAAGTTGAGAATTATCAGATTGGTCTCATTAAATGGTGGAGCACACTCGATGGGCTGAATGGTCTACCTCAGCTCCTTATGGTCATAGTGTATTGCACTTCTGTCTCCTTCTGTCTCACTGTGGGAGTCAAGACTTGTTGCCAGGCTCTGGAATTCCTTACACAAAACTCAGCTCTTTGACCACATATTTACTCATCCTTTACAAAGTCTCCTTCTTTGGCTCTGCACTTGGCTTTTCTCTCCCTCTTTGACCTTCAGGATAACCTCAGCTAGCATGGGAATTGAATGCATGCTGTTGGTATCCTTGTGCATTGCAAACCAGCCAGCTGAGGTTTTTGAATGCGATAATGATTTAAAGACCTTTTTCCCTGGAATCGTGCTGTGCAATACCTATTAGAAACCCATCAATGCTTCTGTGAAATTTCACTGGCATTTAAACAATTATCCTCAAAACTTTCACCATCATTAGTAACATCTCGGGACATAAATTCTAGACCCTAGAATTGAAATTTCACAAGCAACAAAACTAATTTATTTGCAGATTTATATCAGAGGTTTACACAGTGGGACACTTGCAGATTCTATCTCTGACCCTCCCTCCCCCGTTATAAATTGAAGATTAATGAAAATAGGTCATGTTTAGTTTTAATACAAAAGGATGAGGCCAGGGGTAAATCAGTGCTTATTTCTCTCTTTTCTATAATCTATTTAAGAATTTATTCGATAAAAGATAAAGAGCTTAACTCATCAAATGGCTTCTCTGATTAAAGTGATAAATATTGAGATGCCTTCATAATTGCTTAAATTTAACTCAGTAATGAAATGGGTTGTGTTTTCTAATTTTGTTTAAGTCAAATCCCCATTTTTATTCTGGTCACTAAGAGTTTTAATCCCTTCATTATTCCAGGTCATCTCACGTTATTTTCCGTTATGGGTTTTCTTCTTCCCTGTTTTCTCCTTCCTTTCCTGAAGCCTGTGATTTCCATATCACCCCACTGTATCTCACACACAAACACAAGGCAGGGTTTTGAGAGGCTCTTCAGTCAAGACAGAGAACAATGTCACAGCCAACAATCCTATTTTTGTCCAAAAAGAAAAGACTTGCATTTGTGTAGCGGTTTCGTAACCACTGGATGTCCCTTTGCAGCCAATGAAGCACTTTTGTATTGTAGGCACTGTTGCAATGTGGCAGCCAATTTGCACTCAGCACACAAAGCTCCCACAAACATCAATGTGATACGCACCTGAAATCTATTGGAGTTGGGCAATGGTGAGAGCATCCTGCTCTTCTTCAATGTCTTGCAAGTGTCATTCACTGACAGGGCAGATAGGGCTTCAGTTTAATGTCTCATCAAAAAGACATCATTCTTTCTGTACCACTGGAGGGTCAGCCTTGGTCTTGTTTCCAGGCCCTCTCGCGCAACTTTAAAAGCTGGGATTCTGAGGTAAAAATGCCACCAGCTGAGTCACAACTGAATCTTGTAGAGTCTCCTGTGTGACTCAGTCCCAACATTATCCCTTGGTAAATGTCAACACAAATGACACAACCTGATAAATTCCCTAATGGTACGGCTCTCTGCAATTCAATAAAATCCACATCTCCAACCCTAATGTCCACTCCAAAGTCCTTTAAATGTGCTGTTACTGCTCAAATCTTTGAATTCGATCTCTCAACTAATCAAATCAGCTTCCTCCTCCCTTGTGCTTACCTTTCTCCTGGACCAAATAAAATCATGTTTTAGAAAGGAACCAATTTGACCAGATTTTTTTGAATGAATGAAAACAAAAGTTCATTAACTACTAAACACGCAAAGAAGCAATAATGCCGCACAGATTACATACAGTTTAGAAATGACAGGCCAGTCCAAAAAAAGGTTTAAAACAATGTGAGACAACAAGGTGCAGAGCTGGATGAACACAGCAGGCCAAGCAGCATCATAGGAGCAGGAAGGCTGACATTTCGGGCCTAGACCCTTCATCAGAAATGGGGGAGGGGAAGGGGGTTCTGAAATAAATAGGGAGAGAGTGGGAGGCGGATAGAAGATGGATAGAGGAGAGGATAGGTGGAGAGGAAACAAACAGGTCGAAGAGGCGGGGATGGAGCCAGTAAAGGTGAGTGTCGGTGGGGAGTTAGGGAGCGGATAGGTCAGTCCAGGGAGGACGGACAGGTCAAGGGGGCGGGATGAGGTTAGTAGGTAGGAGATGGGGGTGCGGCTTGAGGTGGGAGGAGGGGATAGGTGGGAGGAAGAACA